ATCTTATTCTATGGTGAAAATGATGTCCAATTCTCAACACCACTCATCAATGCGACAGCCAATGAAGGCACAGGTGTCTACTTTTCTTTCAATCACAAAGTTTTTAGATTGTGGGTTGAGTATGGAGTGGAACCAATTAATGTCTATATGAGTCTTGATAAATATGGAATGGTGGAAGTGGAACATAGTGTAGATGGACCATTCTTGAGATCAACCTGGATGAATAAGATCCAACCAGCTGAACGTAGATGGGTAAATGAAGAATTTCAGTATCAATCTAATAGTGTTAATGAAATTGATGGAAAATTGCACTTTTGGCAGGATAACTTGAGAGCTTGGAATGAAAGTAAGAGATTTCGGTTTAGAACAACTTCAAGACCAAATCCATTCAAACAAGTATATCAAACTCAAGTCTCTAATGGAGCTCAAATTAATTCATTCGAATATTTTGACTCGCTCTATATTGATGAAACTTGGCATCGAGTTTTGAAGGGAAACTCATCTGTTTATTACAACTGTACTAAACTGGAATTGATAGTTCCAAACAAGTGGAACGAAACGACCATTGAAGGAACTTTGAGATTGGGAGAATTTACAGACACTCCTCTTAATCAATTGTTTGTTTATGTCTTTGATGCAAATGGTGTGGTCAATAGCAATGGTTTCAATTTGGCAGTTTCAAACCAACCCACTTCATCAGGTCTAGTTGTAGTTGGAACTTTATCTAATACCAAAAGGGTCAATTCCATTGTTTCTCATGCTAATCAATTGGTTTCTTCATTCGCATTCCTGATTATCATGTTCTTTTTAATAGGTGCAATTCTTAGAATGTGAGCTATTCTAATTGAGAATATTTGAATTTTGAGTAAAAATAGTGAAAATTACAGAAAAAGATAATTTTAGTTATTTCTTATTCTGTGGTGATGGTTTATTTTTGAATTTAAACACTATACACTTCATAATCAGAAACAGTGAATGAATATGTAGTTCCATAACTCCAGTTAGGTTCCAAAGGTTGAAAAGTTGCTGGTTTCGAATAAGCATCAGGTGCTGGCTGAAAGCTCATCCCTTGTCCCAAATAAATATCCGACGCTCCAAACAATGGATGTGTTATAAAATTGTATGTAACAGTTTGTCCAACAGCTCCAGAATAACCCAATTTCACAAATCTCTCCACACCGCTCGATGTTACCATACTAAATAGAAATGCATTAGGATCTGAAAATGTCTTGAGAATTCTTATATCCCCAGCATTATAATCTTCCCATGGAATGCTTAGATAGGCACCAAATACGGCTCCTGCTGATGTTTTCACAATTGTAACTGTTGAAGAATAACCATTGCAGGCATTATGGAACGCGTAAGGATGATAGCCATTTCCCATGGCTCTATAGAGTCTGGTTGGTGTTTTCTTCATAACGCCACTCAAAATAGATGTGATCAACCTAGCTCCATAACTAGCGGAGAATAATGGTGAGTTTGCAAAATCACCAAGAGCGAGATTGCAAGATGAACCTGTCCAACTAGTTTTACACACAGAACATGAAGGACCATCCCAGTTACCAGAACAAACTGAGCAAACACCAGGAGATGTACATGTTGTACATTTGGAATCACATACTGGTGTTGAACAAGTTGCTCCTGTCCAACCAGAAGAACACACAGAACACTGACCAGGAGATGTACATGTTGTACATTTAGAATCACAAACTGGTGTTGAACAAGTTGCTCCTGTCCAACCAGCAGAACACACAGAACACTGACCAGGAGATGCACATGTTGTACATTTGGAATCACAAATTGGTGTTGAACAAGTTGCTCCTGTCCATCCTGTCTTACATGTGGAACATGTAGATCCTTGCCAATTACCAGAACAAACTGAGCAAACACCAGGAGATGCACAGGTTGTACATTTGGAATCACAAACCGGTGTTGAACATGTGATGCCAGACCATCCAGTTTTACATATTGAACAAGTTGTCCCATCATAATTACCAGAACAAACTGAGCAAACAGAAGGAGATCCACATGTTGTACATTTGGAATCACATACTGGGGTTGAACAAGTAGCACCAGTCCATCCTGTCTTACACAAAGAACAGGTGGCACCATCATGATTTGTTGAACATTGAGAACAATTACCTGGCGATTCACATATTGAACATTTGGAATCACACACTGGAGCTAAGCAATCATATCCTCTCCGTCCCTCTGCACAAGCAATATCACAATCCTCACCACCATAATGTTTACATCTTTTACCAATAATATCAACCTCCGATTCCAGACCATCAATGGTGCTCTGGATTTTATCTGCTTGCTTTTGTCTTTTAGCAATGGTTGAGGTCATATTTCCTGCTGCTGAGAAGAGAATGCCGATGGCTGATTGGATTTTAGATTTGGCTCCTTTGAGGTTGTTTAATTCGGTAGTAAGGTCTTCC